GTACTACTTGACCTAAGAAACCCTGTATATTGTGAAAAAAGTTGCGAAGAATCTCAGAAAGTACACTGACATAATATTTTAATCATTTTCATAACAATTTACGAACCGGTTATTTTGACTGCTTTGATAGTTCCAGTGTCGAAAAGAAATATCAGAAATAGTTATTGTTACACCTAAAAAAATGAGTGCATAAATGTTAAAATTCAGTATCATAAGAATACATTTTACAAAACCCACTTTTCAACATTACCTCGTCCAGCAATGTTCACCGCTTGCTCGAATCATTTCTGAAACATTCCAGTTAGAAAATTAATGTTATTTAGTAAAATGGACCAAAAATTGCATGAGAACAGTCTCTGTTACTCCACGAATGTCCGAGTAAAAAGTGGAGCTTTTCTGTGCCTCGAAGGTAAGTCTTGCTCGTGGCCCAGCACCGAATAGATCGAAAAAGACGATCGAGTTTTTATTCCGTCTCCCCGGCGTGCCTTACGAGAATACGACGTAAGTACCATATGTGGTCGAAATCTGAAATTTTGCTGACGATCGTCCGGGGACTGCGAAGGCTGTATCCGTTAAGGGTTTTCTGCTCATCGGAGCGTCCTTGCGTGCCAGGCGGGAGAAGAGAGCTCCCCGAGGATTTCACAGCCAGGGATGTATCCCACCGACCAAGATTACACCGTGCATTCTACTATACACACCGGTTTCTCCAGTAATTGAAAAGGATTTGTTCTTTCTGGACGATCTACCGTTGGATTTGCATTCGTTAGAACTCCACGGTAGGTACTTTCAAGTCCTTTTTTTTGCTTCTGAACCTTAAAGGAACGAAAGATTACCAATTGTCGTCTGAATTATCAATTCGGTTGAAAAACGTTACCATTTGTTGGCAGTGACTCCTTCAACTTGGAATACATTTTATCGCGGTGATTTTGTTTCAAACGTTGTTTGGTTGAAAAAAGTCTTCGCATTTTAAAGCACAAGATTTTAAAATTAAAAAAATGCTTAGTGGCACAGACATTTTTTTGTATAAAATGTGTCGAAATATTATTTTATTTCAGTTATGTTTTATTTTTAGTAATTTCGCGTCTTATATTTTGAAATTACTTATGATTTCGTCAATGTAAATACCCAACCAAAATTCTTTGGCACTTGTCAAAGATCTGTGTCAAATTTCTTTGCAATCCGTGCCGTAGGAACGAAATAAAGTTTTCGACGCTTGCATCGCCTTAAAGATTTGGATACACCTGTACCTGCATTGGTCCCGTCGTCACTCCTTCTGCTGTAATTTCCGTAATTTTGCGAATTTTTTCAATGAATTTTTTTCCCGCAATATTTCTAAGGCTCTGATAAACAATCGAAAAAAACTTTTTGAACCCGAAATACCTACGTAGCCCCTTAACCCCTTGCCATCCGATTTATTTTACGACTTCACTCTCAAGAATCACTTTATCGTTAATATTTTCCCAGATACAAAAGGAATTTTGTTCTTATGGCAAGTGTCACATTTATTCTGAACCTTAAATATTAATATCAACGAAACAGTATTTCACGTCGACTCAAAAAAATACGAATATTGTACGTGTTTACTAAACTCAGTTTGAAATCGTTATCACGTGTCTGACTCGATGTTGTAAGGCAAGGGGTTAAATAACCGAATGAAAATGTATCTAGAAACGGGATTAGAAACGATCTGCAAGAAACACGAGACGGATGGTTACACCAGTGATCAAGATCTTTTATTGTTAATCGAATTACACATAGTGTTATCGCATGCTTCTGTGTTTACTACGTAACTTTTAGTGCTTGCGACGATCTACAGACGGCGTTTCTTACAGCTGTACCTACTTATACACACCGGTTCTACGTTAAAAAGCAAGAAGTCTCTCGACACAGATTTCGTTTTTCTCGCGATCGATGGAAAATCATCGGTGACAAGAATATGTCCCGTCGTTGCATAAACGTGATTCGCTTCACGGATGATTCTCGTCGTCTTCTCCCTGTCGGAGGATGCTACACGTGCTGCGATTCGCTCAAAAGGGTAATAATCGTAAAGAGTATATTGCACGGTATATCGGCTCGACGGAGCCAATTTCAAGCTGCGTTGCGTCCTCGGGTGCATTAAATATAGCGATTATTACAATGTCGAGGAATCCGTCTTGTTGTACAACCCATCGTTTACGATCGATAAACAAAAATACATTACTTAAAAATAATTATTTAGTCGCGCGCGTGTGTGTCTGTGTGCGGGTATTATGGCGTTACACTGGTGGAAGTATTTATCGTTTCGGCTGAATCTGTCAGTTTAAATAAATATCAGCCATCAAAAACAATTTGCGTATCTATCGTATTATTGTATATCAATTTAGTGATATTTATGGTGAAATGTAGCACTATGTGGTTCTGTAATTTATAAAAAAAGGTTTCTATATTGATTGCAAAACGAGGTGATTTTAATTATTCACCTTTGTCAAGGCTGCCAAGTAAGATTTCTACGAGGAGGATCGGAAATTTGGATGAAAATAGTAATTTTTATAGATACAGGTAAATCCCCGTATAACATGGTAGTTTCTAAAAATTGTATGCGAATTCGTGTCACACGAAACTAAAAATTAATATGTATATACATACAAGAAACAGGGTTAGGTTCCAAGAACTAACGAAACTACATTAGTCTTGAACCATTTGAGAACAAAACCATGTTGTGGAAACACTGTGTTATTCGAGGGGTTTCCCGATTCTCTCACCGTGTTATGGGAATACCGTAACAGGAATTGCATGCAATTATAAAATAATAATCTTTCCGTTGAAACGTTAAATAAAACAAATTTCCTTAGGATCGTGAGATTTGATAAGAATAAAAGAAAAGTAAATTTTGCTTTAGAGAATTTTTCTGTTTTGGTAGAATTGTCTCCATTCTTTAGATATTGCATGCGAGGTGGCCCAGCAGTCAACATACGATCGGTATTAGTGACTACAATAAAAACATACAGATTGATATTTTTACCAAAATTCGTTTCACAATATTTAATAGATACAAAAATTGTACACAGTGGAACGTCGATTATGGGAAACTCTGAAATACAGAATGAGTGGACAAAGATGATATTGTTTTAACTATTTTTATTGATATGTGAAACTCTGGATCTTCTAGACTAATTATCCGAGGAACCTTTAATCGAAATAAATTTGTCTCTTTATCAGTTCCAATAATCAAAGTTTTACTGTACCTGAAATACGTTCATGAGGATGTGCAATAAATAATTCCAACGGTGTAATTGCCATAGTATTCGCGTTCAGTGGGATATATGTACTAACACTACCGTTCATAAGTATTAAGACACTCGGTCTGTACGAAGAAAATGTAACGTTTCATAAAAATATTATATATTTTCGGCTACTTATATTATCTCATACACTGTGTGGCATAACAATAAAACCACCTTAAAAGTTTCAATTCTTATGTATTGCGGTTAAAATAAAAATGAACCAAATATGCTATGTCTGAAATTATATTGAGAAATAATGTTTCTCCAAAAAAGGATCGATTATATTCCATAGAAAGAAAGTGATTCGTTTTTATTTTAACCACAATACATAACGATTGAAATGTTTAGGATGATTACATAGTTATGCCACGCAGTGTAGTAGCATAAGAGATATTTACTTCAAAATTTCTTGCCTTCTAACATTTACTGCATATTCGGTAAGTGTCCTAATATTTATGGGCAGGAGTGTATATAAAGGCTCATTCAGACCCGTCAAGTAATCTAGCCGAGTTGCGAGTAATTTAGTAACCTACCACACTAAATTTCAATCGTGTTCAGTGAACACAAAAATTCAGTCGAGTTCAGTGGACACTAAAATTCAGTCGAGTAATTTAGTAAAACGATATACTCGAGTGGACCAATTTCACTAGATTTCTCTGGCCGAGTAGCGTTATTTTCGTTGAGTTCTGATAGCACTATTTAATACCGCATGATTAAGTCCTTTGTTCATCTATCGCAACGGTTCCCAACCTAGGAATGGGGCCTTAATGTTTTAGGGGTATGCGAACAAAATTGAAATAAGAGCAATTATGTAAATTAGTATCATGTTTCTAATATTAGGGGTTACAATTTAGAGAAATTGGCTGAAAAGTGGTACACAAGTCAAAGAAGGTTGGGGACCGCTTGTGTATCGTGATTTCGAAATCTCGACTGTACTCATTCAGACATTTTCTATGCACCATACCGTTTAGTATAGTGCCTCTTCGAGCTTAGGTGTGACCTTCTCAGTGGGTGTGCTATGTCCTTGAGAGTACAAGCCGCTAAATGTGTTATTTGCTACTTCTTTAAAAAAGTTTGCCGTCCGAGGACGCGGAACTTGCCACCGAAACTCTTCAAGGCGTGAAAGATCCAAATCCCTGCCATGGGCGTAGCCATGTTAGTGAGGGGGGAGGGGATAAAAAATATTAACACATCGCCTGCCACAGTGAAAAAGGTTGTACGTAGCCAGACACGCATTCTTTTTTTTTTAAATCATAAATCGTTGAAATTCTATGCGTTTTGTTAATAGAGGCTGTTGGTCGTGTTTCAAATTATACTGCAATATTAAATATTACGCAAAAATTTTTTAACTCTGGAAAGTGAGGAGGGGGGCAAAATCCAATTTTCTTCTTATAAGGTCGGGCAAATGCCAATTTTTTCCGTCCCTGCCCCCCCCCCCTGGCTACGCCCATAATCCCTGCTGTTTTCAAGAAGTCACTATAGCTCGCAGAGGCACTGTAGTAAGTGGCTACTCGCCACTGGAGTAAATTATTGGACGTCTCTGACCGAGCCTTAACACGGATGATCGATTTGTTTAGTGCCAGAAAAGAATATCGCGCTTGGTAATAGTCAGCCGCTACAATGTCTTTCCGGATTTATTCTCTACTTCTCTCTCACTTTCTTTCTCTGTCGTTCTCTGTCCCATTCCTCCTCGTTTCTCTATCCCCCGTACCCCCGGCCCCGTTCCGCCAGCGTCGATTAATTAGTGGACGCAGACGGACTGTGAATCTGCCCGTAAAATATTCCACGTGGATGGCAGGCCGAACAATCCGTGCCCGTTCTCTCCGTCGGCTCGTTTCCTGCAATCATCATTGTTGAAAATTAACAAAATTCCGACCCCCCAACCCCCTCACTCACCCCCTGGCTATCCTCCCCCACCGACGTCGCTCGACCATTCAAACGAGACAAACAAAATCGCAAAAACCGTTTCATTTGTTCATTTAAATTGGATGAGTAATGAACCGGCCGCGTGGAAACGAAATGGAAAAGTTGACCGGGGAACGGTGGGTTCCGCGATGATTAAAGGAGAGCATTGATCTGACGGATGCCCGTCGATTTCTATCGTTCTAGATGTGAACGGAACCATAAATACGAAGGAAAATTCTTGGGAAATGCTAACTCTAGATGCTTAGAATCCTGAATGTTAGCCGATATAGGCTCTTTTGGTAATAGAGGATTTTCATTTCAGGTAGAAGAAGCCGTTTAGACGATGAAAATTTTTAGGAAACGTTAATTCTAAGTACCGAAACTTCTGACTATTAGTCAATATATGTAGAGTTTTTGAATGATAGAAGGTTCCTTTTGAGAGCAAGAAAGCATTTTAGACAAAAGTTGTTTCGGTTTGAGGGGGAACGAGTATGACATTATTCTTTTTTAATCTGGTGAACGCTCTGAAGGTCATTCGAAGGTCAACATCGTTTTTTAAATGGATAAAGAAATAAGAGAAATTAAAATGAAAAACGTTTCAGACAAAATTGTTTTTTTTTGCGTGGATTAATGATCTGTTAAAAAAAAATAGGTATCCATTTAAAAAAACGAAGTTGACCTTTAAATGACCTTCAAAACGGCCACCAGATTAAAAATAAATAATGTCATTCTCTTTTCCCCTCAAAACCAAATAACTTTTGTCTAGAATACTTTCTTATGAAATGCTTTGTTTTTACGACATTTCTATGTGTCACCTTAAATGCTGCACCCTCTGTATACATATAACTGTGATAAAAGTAAAGAAGATGTCAACTGGCAACAAATGAGAAATAGCATTACACGGTTTAAAAATGTTAAAAACAGCCTGTGAATCATTTACACGTCATTGAAGAGACCCAGAAATACAACAAAATATTTCTTCGGTAATTTTTCAATAATTTAGGATTGAAAGATTTAAAAGTACTAAAATACTCTTTTCTCAAAACAAGATTTTTTCGGATACATCGATTAGTCTCAGCAGGTCAGTATAATCACCCTCGGTAACAAAATGGTTAAAACGTCTCCTTACGATATACCTTATACAAGATAAAATTATATTCATCCGCGATTTTTTACCGAGAAAAAATATGAAAATCAATCACCCGTAGACGAGGAGAGTTAATGCTTTCGACGTTTCAATTGTACCGTATGCGAAGTTTCGATGTTGAAGCGCGTCGACGCGACTGAATCGTAACGGGAATTAAAGGGGGATGCAACGTTCGAGAGGGGCTGCGTGGACGTTAGATCGTTCTCGAATTCCAGTCCCGTGTTTGATATCAAGGCAACCCTCCCTGTTTCAGTTAACACTACGGTCGTGACTAATTACTCCAATTAATTGAAACTCCGATCTCTTCCCCGTGAACCGCGCGTGCCGCGCTAATTACTAATTACTAATATTAGAGACCGGCACACGGTCAGAAATGCCGGGGGATTAACCGCTAACTAAGGGACGTTTACTATGTCCATTACGGTACGGATGTTAATTATTTCTGATAGCCCCGCGCGGGCTTTCAGTTAAACATTTCGCCAACGGGAAATTACGTTTGTTTCCGTTTTACTGTTACCGATCGGTGAAACTCGTAAGAGTTCAAAGACGGTAACACTATCGCTCATAGGCACAACCGCTGGCTATTGAATTCGGACCACTGACAATTTTCGACAGCTTTCGTGTTTTCAGTACAACTGAAAGGCAGGAACGAAATTTAATTAGAAATTTTATTAACCATTAAAATATTACAGACGTACAGATCGATCTACGTTAATACACTGCGTGGAATATCTATACGAGCATCCTAAAATTTTCAATCCTTGAGTATTGTGGTTAAAATAAAAACGAACTACTTTTTTTCTCGGGAATGTAATCTACCTTTTTTGAGAGAAATGTTATTTCTCCACACGAGTTCCGACATGGCGTATTTGGTTCGTTTTATTTTAACTACAATACATAAGAATTAAACATTTTAGGGTGGTTTTATAGTTATGCCATGCAATGTATTATAAAGAAGAAAATTTTGTTAGTTAGTTTGCTTGTATGTTTGTTCGAGGTAATCTCCAGGAAGTGAACCGATTTTGATGGTACTTTCACCAATGTTTTCCTTGGACTTTCCCCTAATATATAGGTTAGATTTCATCTCAATTAATGTTTAGAGAATTGAAGCAGCAAGGAAGAAGTAAAAGGTAGGAGGAAAAGAAGGAGGAAAGGAGGAGGAAAAACTTGTATATAAAAGACTTAGGCGATTTACTCATCGACGCTCAGCCCAAACTGCTCTAGCCAGAAATGTGAATTTTGGAAAGTATATTTCTAATATATATACTGCAATCGGAAACCGTTTCTAGTCACATGCTGAGTGTAAAAAAAAGAATTAAAATTAAAATAGTATATATTTATTTTAGTACGTTAATAAAGTTTATTATTAAATTACGTTCAGACCCTTCAATTTTACTAAAAATATGTAAGATCCTGAAAATTGTGAGTGGTCCTAATTCAATGGCCAGGGGCTCACATCAGCCATAAGTATTAGGACACTTATTGAATATCCAGTAACTGTTGCAAGGCATTACGAAATAGTTGGAAATCTGAAAGAAATATACGTATTGTTTAAAGAATATTAAAGCTCGATGAACAACGCTTATGCTACTATGTAGTAATACATGTGGAATACTATACATATATAATTTTTACGAAACAATCACATTTTCTTCGTACAGACCAGGTGTCCTCATACTTATGATCGGTATTGTACGTACATATCTACCTACAGAGGTGAGAGACATCTCGTAAAATTATTCATGGTATTGGTATTAGGTGTAGCAATAAGTAGTCCAGTATTTTTTTTGTGAAATTCTGTTTGGTTTGAAATAATTAAAAATCCTTTCTTATATTAATCCCCTCGTATGACGATGCCTGGGTCACTCCGTTCAGTATACCGCGATGTTTCGAGGAAAGTGGATGTATTTAACGAATAAACCAAAATCAATTTTTATGCAAATGCACATTTTATGTTATTTTTTGCAAATTCTTGTAAATAAATGTAAAGATGTTATATAATGTGTATAGTGTCTAGTATGAGTCACCAGTGACCCGGTCATCGGCTTTCACGGTCCGATCATTCGAGGATTAATGGTCCTCATTTGTTTTCATCATTATCTGTGACTTTGACTAGACAGTAGATCGAAAAGCTATTCTGAATTCAAACTGCATTGCCAGTATATTGAAACTATAGTGGATTACTTATTGATACACTTAATAAATAAAAATATATGTCGCTTTAGTATGAATAATCTAAATTAATGAGTACTCTTACACTTAGTTGTACCAATGAATAATGAATAATTGCGTTCGATGAATAGGGAATTATTGGTTTCATAGGAAATTTAGGGTTTTTGCTACCTTACTGACAGTCACAGTTGCTTTACAGTATCTTGCGCCATGTTGGTAACGCTAAAATTCGCGAAGACAATTTTAATTTAAGCTATACTAGTATCATGTTAAATAACAGTGAATTATTTGTTGGTACGCGTAATACAAAGGAACCCAGACGCATTTAAATAAATAACACTTCCTACACGTTCTACTAAACATTGCACTCCCCTAAGAAAAGTGTCATAAAATAAAATTAAAATTGAAAATTCTTAAACTGCGACTTTTCTCGAGGGGGTGCGATGTCATGAGCAGGGTAAACACTATTTTCGGCTATTATAATTCTAAACGTTTCAAATTATATAATTATGCGCTGCTTACCCTTTAACGCGCTCAGATGTCGATAAAAAGTGTTTCCCTGCCAGTTTTCGGGACTTCTCGCGGGCTGAAGTTCCGGTTTCACGTCGCGTATGGCTGCCGCTTCCTCGGCGATCTTCTCAGCCTCCCGTTCCTGAGCACACATCATGTTTTCCCATTTAATTTGGAATTTTTCAATATATTAGACAAATTCGTCCCTACGTTTAATACGTTCAGCGCCGAAAGATGCGACACTTGTTTACAAATGTTAGAAAACTTTGCAAGAAATGTTATGAAAGAAAATGCAAAACGATTTGGGAGGGAAAAAGTGCTAGAATTATGACCACAAGTTATTATTCTTTACATTTCATACAGATTCAACGACGCAGCCGTTAACGCGTTAACCCTTTCAGAGACACAGTTTTCTGTTGAACGAAACATTAAAATCAGAATTAGAAAATGTAAAATGGGGGGTCCAATATGGCCACCTAGTGATCAAGGAAGTAACTATGACATACAATATGTCATAAACTCTCAGAAGTATACGAACACATGACACGTATGTGTAAACAATATATATTTATGTAAATAATAAGTAATAAATAGATTTATTTTTAAAAAGATGAGTTTACGAAAATTTAAATATTTACTTCGGAAAAACTAGCGTGCAGAAAATCCTGACAAACATATATATTATATTTTTAGATATATAGAAAATGCATAAAAATTTTCAAAGCTCCAGCACTTCGCGTTTAACTCATTAACAGTAAAATGACGACTTGTGATAAAGAAAATGTATGTCAATATATAATAATAATAATTCAATATATATAATATATATTTTCTTTTACTACAATAAAACGAAACTACTTCTGTCTATGATAAAAAATCAAAACCAAGTTTTAGGTGTATCTTTTTAATACTAATGTCGTCTTAAAGATAATTTAATGAAATGTACCCTGACCGAGTCTCACTTGGAATAAACTGTGAACATTATTCCGTTAAAAAAAGGAGTTTTTCTCACACTGATTGTTTATTAAGAATTGCAAATGAACAAAGTAACGTAATTTTTCATAAAAGTGGTATCGATTGGTTTCCTAAGAGCCTAAAAAGTACCTAATGATATCTGCATACAATTTGCAAAATAGATCAGAAACATTGAAAAAACTGAGAAGAAAAAGGTGGTACGTATACGTACCACTGCCTCTGAAAGGGTTAAGCAAATATCTAGCACACTTATTTCCATTTATTCTTTTAAGATTCAGAGGGTGACACGACCGTTGTTATCCCAGGACGACTTTTCTACATAATGACCGAACGAACAACAATAGGGAGAACGGACGACGATCCAATCATCGTGAATAACCACTCAGTTATGCAACGATGGCCACAATCCAGTCGATGTGTTGTGACCAACGTCGGTTTTGTACCGGCATAGCAATCTATAATCTAAACGCGGGCACCTGTAAAAGGGGGGTGGTGCGCGATGCCTTATTTAATGTACCCGTCGATAGCAATCGTCGAATTACTTAAATTAATTTAATCCCACCGGCCTGGCCCCGATCGATTCCCGTAAATAATTCAGGACCACCGGAAGTCAGTGTCCGTTACCACCTCTTACGCGATATTCCGATGCCACACGAAGCAAAAATTTCCTTGTTTCCTTGATCATTACGCGATCGCGATTCGACGAAATTATGAAAAATAAACGAACGTGGAGCGTTTCAGGGAACTGGGTAATTAAAGAGTAGGAGGTTAATATAGTTTGATAGCATTCCCGTAACTTAACGCACTCGAACCACGAACCTGTCCGCTTTTGCCCCGGTTCTCTCGAGTCCCATCGATCTCACCGATAAGATCGAACGATTAAATCAATTCCGTGAAGTTGCGCGTGACGGATGTTATTTAAAAATCAGCGTAGGTCGGTACTGTCGTGACAAACAGCCGGTAAAAAGTAAAAATACAAGGGGCATTCGCACGCGAGGATGCATTTTTAAAGAGTCTCAGATTATTTTTCACGATTCCCTCTGTATTCTAAAATATTACGTAAATTCATACTGTATAAAAGATATCAGTTGGTAATATTGTGGAAAGACATTTGAAAGCTGCGTCGAACCGATTTATTTCGAGATCTTAAGGAAATATGTATAAGTCAGAACGGAATTGGAGAGATTCTTTGGTTTGTTTTCGTTGGATCCACGTCGTGGATGCTTTTGTGGTCTAATTAGCGGCGGTACAAATTGTTTATCAAAATTAATACCGACTTTTTAGTATCCCTAGTCGCTGTAATGGCGATGCAATTACGTCGTGGAACGCATCGAGGTAATCGCGGAGATGCACGACTCGAGATACGGATCCTCGAAGCAGCACGGGCAATACCGATTGCCGAGTCGTGACCGCTTACGCCAACGGTGGTATAAAATATTCATTTCACTCGGTACCTACTATGATTATATTGTCACGTAAC